TGTCTTGACTCTCCTACCACAAACCAAAAACTCCTTAAGGGCAGGGTCCTACGGTACATACAACTCTGTAATCCCTACAGACAGATATTAGAGCCGACTCTCAAAAGAGGAAGGGAAAGAAAGAACAGGCCAGGCAGAGCACAGCCACTCGGCCTGTGGTCTAGAAAGATTTTGGACATGATGGAAAAACCATTGGCAGTTCAGCACTGTGCTGAAGGTGGGTCACGGACCGGTTCTCATAGGACTGGTACAATATACCCAGGTCTCTTTTAACCAAATTATTACTTTTAATAAAAAACCAGGCATTTCTTCTTCAATATTTTATCAAAAGACATATCAATATTTACAGTAATTCTAGAGAGACTTTTGTGGGAGATAAGCAAGAATGGGGGAAGAAAACATATCCTCACAAAATCCAAATTTTATGGCCCTATCCTCAAAACGTGTTCAACTAGGAATCTCATTCTTTTCTTCAGTTTGCTACCAACTGCAAGGGAAAACATTTGAAATCCTTTATCCAGAGTGAATATCATATTTGGGTAATTTTATTTTTTCCCCTAAACTGACATTATTTTCTACTAATCAAAATAATAAGGTCAAGGGCCGGCCAAGTGGCACGATGGTTAAGAACTGGCTTGGGATGCCAGAGGGCCCCGGTTCGGATTCCACATATGAGGGCCAGTGACACTGCCCTCCACAGCTAAGATGCTGAACAACAGCTCAACCTGGCGACAGCGTGGGCTGCAGTCCCCTGCTGCAGTGGGTTGCCATAAGCTACTGCACGTAGCCAGCAGCCAGCGTGAGCGGCCAGCAGCCGCAGTGAGCGGCCGTCCAGAAGCCGGCGACTGATCTGCCTCACCCGGGAAGAGCACAATGATGGTGCCAACTTGGGCCAGTGAAGCAATGTCCTCCACAACTAGACTGAAGAACAAAACAACAGCAACTTGTCTGTTCCCCTTCCCCCAATTCCCCAATTAAAAAAAATAATAATAATAAGGTCAAAAAGAGAGCTATATAGCTTAGAAGCAATGAGATCTAACACTTGCTTTATGAGCTATTAATAATTTCTTAGTGATGGGATGTGGAGTATAGCGTGGGAATGGGGTCATTGGAATTGTAATAGATATATATAATATCGGGGAGGGGGTAGGGGGGTTGTCACTTTGTGAGAGGTGAAAGGGATAACTATTGCATTGTTTTGTACACCTGAAACTAATAATAAAAAATAAATAAAAAAAATTTTTAAATCTCTTAGTGAGCTTTTAATTCATATGATCAAAAAATAAGCAAAGCAAAAAATCAAGAAGACCCAGATCCATTTCTCATAACTACCCAGAGCTACAGAAAATGTTTTCATTTTACCATATACTCTAATAGTTTTATTCTCCTGGATAGTCAATGGATAACTTTTTTTATATTCTATTTGGTATTTAGCAAACCATTATACATACATATAGCAGATACTTGCTAATAAATAAAACCCTACTAACTTATATGGATATTCTTTCATGCTAAAATCTCAAAGGAAACAACTTTTACAAGTTATAAACATGAATTGTATTACTCAGGTATTTAAAGCATTCAATGAAGTCAAGACTGAAAACTAAGCTACTAACTAAAAGGGAAATAAAACTATCTTAGAAAACAATGTTGCTGCTTAAACTATTTCTGAAAGGAAATCTCACCGGAGTTGCTTCTGGGGAGAGGAAATGATTGACTATGTGATGGGGTAAAAGAAAATGTCTGTACCACATACTTTGTACCTTTTAAATTTTATAAACCACGTGAATGAATGTTTTACCTATTCACAAAAATAAAACTGGGGGGAAATTAAAATAATGCTATTTGACCTTGACAATGAATATAAATTTATAACCAATTTAAGATGTGGGCATTCTAAAATGATTTGTCATCAAGACAAAACATTAGTATCATTTCTTGGACTAATAAAAATTTTCCATTTATTTTTACTGTATGACAAATTGATTTTTACATGTCATGGATATGGCCTTTTAATAATTATTTTCTATTTAAAAGTTTTTAGTAAGATTTCCAACCCTGTAAGAAAAGTAGCAACAGACACTCCAACCATTAATGAAAAACCATTTCCATGACATGGGGGATTTCTCCTGGAAGTTCAATATGTGAAACATACCACAAAGAAAAGTAGTTCTTTTTGAAATCAATTCTAGTTCCTGATCCAGAATTTCCTAAGTTCGCCTTTTATTTTTTATTTTATTTTATTTTTTAAAAGATTTTATTGGGGAATTGGGAGAGGGAACAGCATTGGGGAATCGGGGAAGGGGAACAGACAAGTTGCTGTCCTTTTGTTCGTCAGTCTAGTTGTGGAGGATGTCACTTCACTGGCCCATGTTGATATGATCATTGCGCTCTTCCCAGATGTCACTTCACTGGTCCATGTTGGTATTATCATTGTGCTGTTTCCCGGATAAGGCAGTCGTTCGCCGGCCAGTGGACAGCCGCTCATGGCGGCTAATGGCCACTCACGCCAGCTGCCGGCCACTCACGGTAGCTTACGGCAGCCCACTGCAGCCCTACTGCAGCCTACGCCATCGCCAGCGACTCCATGGCAGCCCAGCTCCAGGTCGAGCTGTTGTTCACCATCTTAGCTGTAGAGGGCGCAGCATCACTGGCCCTCATGTGGGATCCGAACCGGGGCCC